ATGTCGTTGTGGTTGAACATCAACTTTTTTGTCCTCTTTTTTGCAGGATTATGTGGATGTTGAGAGTCCGCAGCTTTTGGTGAAAGATGAGGCTGAATATCATGAAGCTAAATGTCTACGAGCAGCCAGCATAACCTTGGATGATCAAAGTCCCATCTAAATAAATATACCAAGACGCCGGATCAAGCAGTATTCTGAAAATGAGTGTAAAGTGTATTTAAAACAATATACAACTTTTTGCGTGACATTTATCTGTACTGGTCTTTCAAATGCTGTTTCCAATACAGCAACCGAAAGATGACGACACAAACAACTCAACAGGGAGAAAAAGTAAATAATAAAAAAATAAGTACATAATAAAAAGTAGCATAATGTTACTTGTATGGTTAAAAATTATGTATTTGTATTTTCTTGTTTGGCAGTGTAAATTAATCATGTTCAGTGTTTCTGATTTTCTTTATTTTTTAAATCAATTTTGATAACTTAATTAAAACACAAATGTTATATATGATGTGCATTATTATAATATATATTGTTAAAAAATAAAAAGCAGCACAAAAGCTCTATACATGTTTGCTTTCTAAAAAAAAATGTCACGTGTTTACTTATTTATTATTAAAGGGCAGGTGAACTGAATACCATTCATATCTTGCAAAATAAACGAAAAAAGAAAAGATCCCATCTAGAGCAAGTGTTTGGTTTGTCCATTCTGGCCTACTGTAGAAACATGGCGGTCAAAATGGCTCCATGACTCCATGGAAGAGGCAGGTCCCTCTGTAGATAAAAACAGCTCATTCTAAGGTAATTTTATTCTTATTTTCAGCTGATTATACACTAATGAAAACATACCTATGAAGATTATATTGTATTTCTGACAATAGTTCCTAAATGTTACACACTGGACCTTTTAAAAGCATTTTTATTACTTTTCTTTTACATTCTAAATCTATTTTTTTATTACTGATTTTCATTGAGTCCATAACTACAGTAAAGTTGACAATATATTCACAGATTCGCACTTCCCGCATCAATAACTCATAATCGGGACATTTTTAAAACACAGCCGATGCTTCTTTCCAACCGTAGTAAAGCACACAACGAGCTACAACCTCATCTTCATCAAAACGAGTCTTCCTCTGCACTGCTCCAATAACACTGATCTCTATGAACACCCGGCTGTGAGACGAGTGCGCAGGGACCGTCAACAATTTTCAATAACGAAAAGAGATATCACAAAAGATGTTCAATAACTGTACTGTCATATATTGTAGCCTCACTAGAATCACTGTACACATCATTCACACCCTCCTGGTGATACTACAACTGTTATTTTCACAATAAAACACTCTTGTATATTTTGGGGGAATTTTTATTGGGATAAATAATCAATAACTCAATAATTATGAACTGCAGTGCCACCAAAATCACTGTACACATCATTTGTACGTTCCTGGTGATGTTTATTTAGTTTATTTATATAGCATATTTAAAACATACAGACTTGACCAACCTGTTGCAGAAATTAAGTGCATGGCAGACTGCAACTAAATGATCACCCCAAGTTGACCTCTTACCGTCCAATCAGGAGCCACTGTCAATTAAGCTCTGCTTGCAGCCATCAGATTTCAGTCTTTACTGCAGAACCTTTTGCCTTTGGATTACTTTGCAATTTTTCTGCCTTGGATAGCTTTGGCAGTTTACCACCACAATCTTTCCTTGGTTATATGTGAGTAATCTTTGATCTTTTTTTTACTATGCCTATATAGATGTTCAGAATTTGAAATTTGAAATTTTAGGTTGTGCGTAATGATTAAATTAAATGTTTGTCAATTTAAGAGCCAAACAAATGTATTATTTTATATATAGCATACTAAAAGAAAGAGACATGAAGTGCTCCAGTCTTTAGCCATGTGTTGAAATATAACTGACATAATTAATTAGGGACGTTGATATAGATATGGATATAGATAAAAGTCTTCATACACCTCAACTTCTACCCCAGGTTTTCAAGCACATGTAAAACATATAATTGATTATCACTGGCATACACATTTTTAATTCAAGGTTTTAGCTTTTCCCTTTTCCCCTTTACCTAGGGTTGGGACTATTTGAAGACAATGGGAAGAGTAAAAAAAGGAAACAGAGGAAAGAGGAAAGACCTATGGGCAGTGGTAGGGGGGAAAAGAAGCTGTGGTCAGAGCAATGACAAGTTTTAACATAACAAACAGAGATACAGCTTATTCTTCCCAGATCTGGTCTGAACTATCTGTACACCTATTTGCTCAAGATATGAAGAAAAATGGTCATTGGCTGTGGGTCATATGGACCAAGAATCGGAATGGAGTGAGGGATCTGATTATGGATCAGGAACTAAATAATGAGGATGAAACACATAATACAGAGGCACTTGAAGACAGTGGGACAGAGGATCTGCCTCTAAATATGACTCAGAATATTAAAGTAGTGTCAGATGAGGAAACAGAAGACAAGGAAGTCCAAAAGGAAGAAAAGAAAATCACATTGTAGAGTGCAGCTCAAGATAATGAAGAAGTTCCACAAGAAGAGACCGATGAGAATGAAGTAGGAGCAAGATAAAAAAAATAAGATTAAAGAAAAGAGCCAAACCTAAACATGTCAAGACCGGAAACAAAAATAAATGGAGAAAGTTGCCAGTGGTGCCTAAGAGATTCACAGTAACTGTGAATATAAAGAAATGGAGAAACTTAGGCAACCATGGACAAGTGTGTTATATAACAGTTTCTGCAAAAAGAATCCTTGTTGTACCCTTTCATTCAAGAGCCAGCACATAAAACCGCTCCACAGCAGGAAAATGAACAGTCCTTATTTAAATATAAGTGCTGTTTGTACATTCCCTTCCTGCAGTGCGAAATACTTTTTTAAAAGGAAAAGGGAGCCAGTGGGAGACAATCAGGTTAAGATAGCTGTGCTACAAAGAGGAACAGTGGCACACCAGACAAATGAGACAAAATTCAGACCAGCACCAAATACACAGAGAGGGAGAATTGCAAGAGCTCTACATAAAGGAGTGAGCCATGTGTTCTACCGTAAACTCCAAAAAACACCAGTTGCTGAACTGATTTCAGGGAACATAACCCAATGTTTGAACAAAAATGTGCTTAAGGTGATTAGTTCAGAGGTTAGAAAATGACAAGAATGCATGATGATGTTTTTTAATGGAGATGTATCTAACCCAAAAGATCATGAAGGAATGTGACTTCCATTTCCACAAGATGGCTGGCTTCATACAGCACTTACAAGTTGACCCCTTTGGTGTACACATGTATACAGAAACTGGAATAAGCATAACAGTGCAACACCTCAGAAGGAAGAGCCCACTGACCCTGTACCTAGATGCTACAGGAAATGTTAAAGAGTACTTTACTACTCTCTTACTCTTCCTGGTGGTGGTCAGAATGTACCTCCCCTCCCAGTCTGTGAAATGCTGACCAACGAACACTCTATACCACCAATTACATTCTGGTTAATGCAGTTCTCAGACAACTGTCCCAGTACACAAAGGTAAGAGTACACCAGGTGGAAACAGACTACAGCTGGGCACTACTCCAAAGTGTTCTTCTGTCATTCAACAAGGAGAGCACTGAAAGCTACTTGGATAGGGCCTTTGCTATTTCTTCAAAAGTAAAGACATGGAAAGAGATCCAAATGTTTACAGTGCTTCACATGTGCTCAAAGCTGTTGCGCAGGCTATTGGGAGAAAGACAAATGATAAAGGGTTAAAGGAGTTTGCAACCTTTGCATTGCATTGAAGGAGGTGCAAGGAGAGCTTGAAAAAGAGGATGCAGAAACCAAAGAAGATGAGGAAAGTCCTTACTTCTGCCCAGTTGTTGTTGATGTTCTTTTTGATAACTACCTGGGCCTTTTCCCCCTTTGGAGTGGTCTGCTTTTGGGAAATTTAAAAAGGTATGCATCTGACAAAGAAGATGACACCTTTGGCCCAAGCTAAACAAGGGACACAAACTGCTATGTGGAGAGATGGTCTGGAATAGTTAAACATTTCATTCTAAAAAACTGGAGGAGTCAGAAAAATGTTTGCCTCTATACAGGGTAGATACAAAGAACACATCATGTGTCATAACTAACCCTAACCCTCTGAGCAGTTACTCCTAAAACCCATGCAACCAAAGGACATAACTCAATCACAGGAGAGTTGGGCAAAGAGAGACAGAGCGAAACCCCGCACTGGCAGCTCCAAATTTTACACTGCTCCAACCACTGTTCCTGTTCCAAAGAAAGCAAAGTCAGCTTTGAACACTGGCAAAGATCTTCAGAAGAAGACAAATGAGAACAACAGCAGTACTGGCCTCTCATCTACAAGCTCCAAGCCCACAACAGAGGTACTTTTTTGCTAAATAAATTAAATTCAAGCCATTAACATTTGTTGATGCTGAAACCACTAAGTCCTTTCCACAGCTAGACACATTGTTAAGACACATTAAGCATCAGTCAGGCAGTTTTATTCACACCCAGAGTGTGGTTCACTCCAGTACACACTTCAACTTGAGCCCATCTTACAAAACCTACAAAATCTATAAACACAGCAATTTTAATATTGTGGGAAATAACGCAACAAAACAATAACAACTTTCTGTACCAGGAGGATATCTAGACAGAGTACTGAAATACTGAAAATAGAATGACTTTGCAAATGATGCAGGAAGTGATTAGAATTTTTGTATTCATATCCATGTAGGTTGATGCCCTCTGGACATGCAAGCCAACTGAACTTGTTGTGGCTGTTGTAAAACATGAAGAACAGAAGCCCACATTTACCCTCCGCCACAGAGAATTTCAGAGTTTGAGGCCTGATGAACTACTCATTAGAAAGGCAAGTTTTCTCATTAAAAATCTATAGTTAGATATATACATATATAATGAACACAACTTGACTTTAGACTCCTCTACTGTACAGTATCGGACATTTTTATGATAGATTTTTTCATAATATTTGTTCAAAAGGTGATAGAATGTTACATTGGAGCCATCCTCAAGTCTAAGGATACTGCTGGCCGACTGTACCACATGAATCACTACACCATGGGGGTAATATTACACAGCACAAGAGAGCAGATGGCCAGGCAGGGTTTAAAAAAGGTGTGTACAACTGTAATCATTCATTATATTTGTCACTTCAGTATTGCAGAGTTTAGGCCAACAGCAGGCTTCAGTTCAGCGTTTTTATAGTCCTTGATGTGATCATGGAAAATCTTGATTTTTAATACTTTTAATAATATTCCTTCCTTAAGTTACTTCAAAAATTCACATATTTTCTGTGTCACTTATTTTGTCAGGTCACATGTGATGACTATGATGGAGCCATTGGATTTGTAGACATAAAAAATGTGCACTGGAAGTTTGTGGTGAGCAAACAGCTTTTCATGTAGTATTATGTGCCATTTATATATTAGTCATGGTTTGTTTGTTCAAAGGTTACCAGCCTTAAAATTGCTATAAAGACTAATTACCTATAATCAACTAAAAACTACAAAAATACAGTAGTATTAATTACATATTTTTCATATCAGTTCAGTATTTATCTATGACTCAACTAACAAATTCACAAGTTTAAGATTATGAGCTCGGTATGTCATGTGTCTAAGGATTAAAAAAAAAAAAATCACTGTAAATGTCTGCATGGTCTATATTTAAAATGGTATGATAGTGAAATAATGTGCAATTGTAGTCTAAACAAAGCATTCAGGTCATTCAACAGTATGTCATTGGTGATCCCTACTGCTCATCTAAAGATTTTATTCACCATGACACTAAATTGTGATACTCACTACCAAATGATCAAACAGGTGTCAAATTTAAGAATGTGCTTATGTGAAGTGGCTTGTTTTTTTTGTTTTGCCTTTAATACTGTAAATGTATTTACATTACTGTGTATCAGTTTGTCAACAGTGGTTTTAAAATTTTACATATATTTTCATTGTTGATGTTGTGGTTGATGACATATTCAAGGATGGTATGGTTTAATGATATTTTATTGTTTTCTTCATAGCCTTTCAAACCACATTTTTGTCGTTGATCCTCTGCAAGGCTCCAATGAAGTTGAGGACTCCAGAAAGGCTGGCTACAAATTTGGGTATTATGAAATTATGAGGACTGACTACCTTACAGACACATTTGGTAAAGAGCCATAGAGTACGCAAAGACGTAAACCGAAAATTCTGTTCCTTTCGTCCTGTAGACAGCACTTCAAGATGCGCCGGAATCGACTTGGAAAGGAAGATTGGGTTAACATCAAGTGGCAGCCTGGCAAAATAACCCACACCTTCCAGAAAGATGCCACCAGTTGGGGGATCTTTGTCATGCCGGTGATCTTGTCTTCAGTATAGATAAACATCTGTTTTTTTTATTGTGCAAGACCATACATAGCACATGTATTGTTTTGACATCTGTCCAGATGGCCAAGATGACGGTGATGGAATTTCACATTGATTCATCCAAACAATCTCTTCAAAATCTAAGAAGAGAAATGTCAGAAGAAATTTTGAGAGGATCAGGTATTGTTCAAAATATTACATTATTATGTTGACAACTTCCTACAAACATGACAGTAATATAGCTTAATTATTTTTAGTGGCAAAGATGACTTCTGTTCCCTCTGTGGAAATAAGGACTTACTGCAAACTGCTGTTGATGCTGTTCGGGTGAGAATCAGTGGATGATCTGAATAGTGGACAAATTTTGAAATTCCTGAGATAATACTAGAGTAATCAAATCTTGTATAATCTTATGCATTACAGATTTGCTAAAGTTAAAGTTCAAATATGTTTAATGTTTTTATCCCTATGTAGATTCAGTGTGGAACTTGTACAAGATGGTTTCACACGCAGTGCCTTGGAATGACAGCAGCACAAATCCCAAACAAAGACACCCCTTGGTATTGTGAGTTGTGCAACAGCCCTGAATGACGAGACTGTTGGTAAGTTTGGCAAACTCTTATCAGAAATAGGAGTGTTTAGGTGGATTGAATTTCACTACTGCCATAATAATAGTAGAACCCTTTTAAAATGGATGGAAACCTGATATAAAACCCAATAAGGAACAAAACAGCTATGCTGGAAAATGTGTGCAACTGAAATAAATACAAGTGATTGAAGATTTTTTTTACTCTGTATTCAACTCTGAAAGAAAAAAAATCGTATATACAAAAGTAACCAATTACCTTAATCTGTTTTTCATCCAAATGTGGAATCATTTATTTCCTAATGTACATACAGATGTGTTCTGTAAATATTCAAGACCTGTTTCTTTTGCCATATTTATTTTTCAAGTTTTCTATAATTTTACTTAATTCAAGACTTATTAAAATGTTGTTTCATGGTTAATAATTAATATCTTAAGACCACTAAGTTTCAGTGACTGGATTTCACTGAACAGATGTTTGTTTTTGTTTTTTTAGTGTTTTCAGAATAATCTGTGTGTGTGTTTTTATTTAACGTTGAATAAATTAGTGAACTAGCTTTGATGGCCCATTTGATATATGCATCCTACAAAATGTCAAATATCTGAAGTTGCACAACTTGTTATTGGCTCTTTCATTATACTTTATACCAACGTAACTTGGAATCCTACCTGCAAAGACAATCAAACAACACATTGTATATCTTTTCACTTATTTTGTCAGAAAAAGGAGAAACACAAATAATTTCAGAAATAATATTTTTGGTTTGAGACTGTAATGTACCATTAAACTGGCATTGCTCTTTATTGACCCCAGGTCCACCACACACAAGATCCACTGCAGTTTGGATACCAGGAGCAGGTGGACGTGGAGGATGCCATCCTCTATCTGCTCCAAAGGGCCCACTCTTATCTGGACAAGGAGAGCGGCGCTGTGAGAATCCCGCTTTTTGATTTCTCCAGCGCCTTCAACACCATCCGGCCGCTCCTGCTGAGAGACAAGCTGACAGAAATGGGGATGGACCAACTCCTGGTGACCTGGATTACAGACTACCTCACGGAGAGACCACAGTATGTCAGACTGAAGGGCTGCACGTCAGACACTGTGGTCAGCAGCACCGGAGCACCACAGGGGACCGTGCTCTCTCCCGCCCTCTTCACCTTGTACACATCTGACTTCCAGTACAACTCGGGGCTCTGCCACATGCAGAAATACTCGGACGACACTGCGATAGTTGGCTGTATCAAGGATGGACGGGAGGGGGAGTACAGGAGCCTGGTCGAGGACTTTGTGAGGTGTTGCGGGTCCAACCATCTGCAGCTGAACACCTCCAAGACCAAGGAGATGGTGGTGGACTTCAGAAGGAAGAAACCACATCTCCAACCCGTGTCCATCGAGGGGGTCAATGCGGAGGTGGTCAGGACCTATAAATATCTGCGGCTGCAACTGGACGACAAGCTGGACTGGACAGCCAATATGGACACTCTTCACAGGAATGGGCAGAGCCGTCTGTACTTCCTGAGAAGGCTGGGGTCTTTCAACATCTGTAAAAAACTGCTGCAGATGTTTTACTGGGGAGGAAGCCCAGAGAGACACCGGTCGACTGGACAGACTGGTGAGGAGAGCTGGCTCAGTGGTGGGCACAGAGCTGGACTCTCTGGTGACAGTGGCAGAAAGAAGGACCCTGGACAAACTGCTGTCCATACTGGACAACACCCACCACCCTCTGCACAACACCTTCACCAGGCAGAGGAGTGTGTTCAGTGGCAGACTGCTGTCCCAGTCCAGACTCAAAAACTCTTTTGTCCCCCATCAGACTGTACAACAGCTCTCAGTAAAGGCAGGGAGGACAAGAGACAATGGACAATTTCTACCTCCGTTTGCACTGTTTACTGTTTTTGCACTGTTGACTGTGGCTACTGTGTTATAAGTTAAGTTTATTTTATTGTATGTTTAATGTCTGTTTCGTATGCTACTGGATACTTGAATTTCCCTTGAGATAACTAAAGTATCTATCTATCTATCTATCTATCTATCTATCTATCTATCTATCTATCTATCTATTTATTTTAAGAAAAGGAAAGGAAGACATGTTCCATTGTTTGGAACAGTTGTAGTATCACCAGGAGGGTGTAAATGATGGATACAGTGATTTTGGTGGCACTGCAGTTCATAATTATTGAGTTATTGATTATTTATCCCAATAAAAATTCCCCAAAAATATACAAGTGTTTTATTGTGAAAATAACAGTTGTAGTATCACCAGGAGGGTGTGAATGATGTGTACAGTGATTCTAGTGAGGCTACAATATATGAGAGTACAGTTATTGAACATCTTTTGTGATATCTCTTTTCGTTATTGAAAATTGTTGACGGTCCCTGCGCACTCGTCTCACAGCCGGGTGTTCATAGAGATCAGTGTTATTTGAGCAGTGCAGAGGAAGACTCGTTTTGATGAAGATGAGGTTGTAGCTCGTTGTGTGCTTTACTACGGTTGGAAAGAAGCATCGGCTGTGTTTTAAAAATGTCCCGATTATGTGTTATTGATGCGGGAGGTCCTGAAGCACCCTGTCAAAACATGGCGTGGGATGAATGATGCCATCATCAGGAACGCCCACATGTCCCTCCGTCAGCCAATGGGATCCATCCTGAGAACACGCGTTCCCTCTTTATTTCATAATATACCAATAACGTCTGATTGAACGTGTAGGGAGCAAGAGGACAGCGTAACAGAGCCACTGGGTGAACTGGATCGCTTCCTGTCTGTCGTGTGCACTGTATGAGCTCGAGATAATGGCTATCCGTGTATTAGAAATCATCTTTTTCTTCTATTTTGCGTCTCACATTCCTATCACGTTATTTATTGACTTACAAGCCCTGCTGCCTCAACATGTGTATCCTCAGCCGGTAAGTGTCAGTACCAGGAGAGGATGGAAGCAAAGGTACAATACAACTTCCTACAAGGGTCCAATCACTTGTTTTGTGGCTGTAATTGACTTGAATTTCCCCCAGATGAGAGATTTTGTGAAGTGGTATGCAGAGGAGTTCAAAGACCCTTTGATGATGGATCCTCCAGACTGGTTCAGGTCTTTCATTTTCTGCGAGGCCTTGTTTCAGCTGCCTTTCTTTCCAGTCGCAGCTTATGCTTTCCTGAAAGGTCAGTCAGCACAAACCGTGCTCGTGTGGAATCAGTGTGTGACAGTCTTGTGCCAGACTGCGCTTACAGACCTGTCTGTTAAAAGCTGCGTTGCTCGTTGACGCAGTAAACACGCGCATTAACTTGATTAAATAGCTTTTTTGTCATTTTTACGACCTATTATTGAATACGGCATACGTTTTTCAATCTAAGTAGATGACGTATCCACACTAAGAGGCCTATTGTTTTGCTCATTGGCTTACATCTACCTCGACGTCTATTCGAAGCAACTAGACTGTGGAAATTCTTATTTTATTCTGTGACAGCATCTTGGTGAACAAAGTTAGAGTTGTGGGACTTAAGTATGTATCTGTTCTTAGGAGGTCTTTTAAATACCATATTTTTAAAAGTACTTTAATCCTTAAACGAGCCCTCATTTAAATGAACAGTTTTTCTTATGGAGTTTGGTGTGCGGCTTATCATCAGAAGCAAGCTCAAACCTGACCTCTCTTGGCTTTTTGCTGTCATGGCACTAGAGACCCAGTGAAGTTGTGATGCATGGGGAAGATAAACAAAAGACAGTTCAGTTTGTGTATGTATAGGTATAAATAACATTGTCAATTTAATAGGCTCTTTTCATGTGTTTGCTTTGGGTTTATTGGTCATTCTGCAGTCTTTTGATCACTCAGTGTCTTTCTTGTCTCTCAGGTGGCTGTAAGTGGATCAGGACTCCTGCCATTGTGTATTCCGCACACGTGGCCACCACGCTAGTCCCGATCCTAAGTCGCATCCTCTTCTACCAGTTTCCTATGGAACCCCACCCAGGTCCGCAGACCCCACAGGAGCGCTGGCTGCTGGTCTCCATATATGTTCCGTACCTGCTGGTGCCTTTGCTGCTGCTGTTCACCATGCTGCTGTCCCCCACATACAACTCCACCTCAAACACATCAGCCAAAGCCAAGAAGAAGAAGAACTGACTCAGACTACAGCTATCTAATTAACTCTGATTTTAGGAGATACTTTTATACCTTTCTGTACTTGAAAGCTGCTTCGTACTATTGTTTCAGGACACTGACATTGTTAAACCAGCCAGAATGAGCACTTTTAATGTTATTCTTTAAAAGTAAACACTTGTTTGCTGAACATGTTGTTTGTCATATTTTTTAAATACTTGAGGGACTTTTTAAAAACTTTCTTTGATGGAATACAGCAGTAATGAGGAAAGAGAGAGGAAATGACATGCATCCCTAGCTGGACTCAAACTGGGGACATTGCAGTTACATGCAGTACGTCAGTGTCTTTAACCCCTTGGCCACCATGATGCCCCTATTCTTTACATTTTGATTTTAGAAAACACAGTTGTGAATAGTAGCATCAATAATGGCCAGTGCTGGAAGTACTCAAGTACTGTACTAAACTACAATTTATACTTAAATACAGAGAGGTGACTTGAGTATTTTCTCTACTATATACTTCTACTCGACTACATCGATTTTTCAGATTTAGATAAATGATACAAAAAAACAGCATTATATAAAGTATATAAGTATTCACATCGCAAGAAGCCACTAAAAGTAAAGCTCTGCACTGTGGTATTACTAAATATAAGTCGTATTAATATTAGCATCATTTTGAATGAATATTTTCTGCATTCTTTAGTCCTCTGTGACAGTGAAGTGAATATCATTGGGTTGTGGATAAAACAAGACATTTGAGGGCTTTGGGAAACAAACTGAGTTCAACAGAGATGAGACAACAACCTATTCCTGAGTGTGAATGAAACAAAAGAACATATTGTTCATACTGTTGAAAACAAGCTGAAATGGTCTGCTAATACACATCCTCAGTAATTCAGAGGTCACAGTCACTGCACTGTGTACACTTTCTAAGAAGTTTGAGAAAGGTTAAGCTGTCACTGGGGGTTTTCCCAAGCTTCTACAGATTGGCGGTAGGCACACAAAGGTCATATAAGTAAGTAAATAAGTGCAGGGCAGTATAGAAACCGCAGTGCATTGGAAAGCATTATAGGTCACAATTTAAAAAAGTACTCCAGCAATTTAATATGTGGAGAGACTCTGAAATATAGATTAAACAAAAGAAAAGTCAAAGCAACAGAGGCTGAGACAACCTATTTAAGTCACTAATATAGGTCAAGCTCCAAGAACACTAGATCCTGCATTTCCCATAATGCAACTCAATAGCTTCTTGAATTAGACGCACCCTGCTGGGTAAATATTCATCTCTTCAAAAGTCCATCAACCCAGTCTTTCTGTTCAGTCCAAGTCCAGATAATAACCCCAGTGATGTTATCAGGGTGATTTTCTCAGACTTGAAGTTGGTGGAGGACCTCTTTATGTACACCCAGCACTACACTGGTTCGTCACACCACCACCAATCCTACATACCTATCACAACATGTAGTGTGTAAAAAGAATTTACACATGCCACTGCACCAGGGCCACCCACAGCTTTTGTTCACCTGCCTTTGGGATTATGGATTGCCTTTACACTCACCTAACTGTCATTTGCACATTGTTATTGCTTCTTTTTGCTGTTATTTCTCCTCTATATATACAGTACAATACACTGAGGTAGCAGTTACTAGTACCCCTGGACTATTTAATACCATCCAATACAGCAGTTCTGCAATAAATCCTATCTTTGCTAAGCTTATGAAACAAAAATAGCTTTTGATATTTACTCTTTAGAATCAGTGTGAATTTGCAAAACACACAGATTTCACATCATTTCACTGTAGTGCTGGAAACGTGCTACATGTCAGTAAAAGCTTAAAAACCACAGTTCATCGGTTCATCGGCTCTCTCTTACACTGATGTCTAACACAGCTAATACGTCCTAAGTGACAGTGTGCTGAGTCCACTTTAGAAACTGTTGTTTTACCAATTAACGACTAGTGACTAAATTTAGTGTGTTTTCCCTATTAGAGATGAAAACACAAAATCTGCAGTAGAAACTGTCAAAACATGTGGCTACACTTCTTTTAAATAGATTATATTTTAAATAAGATTTAGATTTGCACTGGATCAAAGCACATCATTTTTACTCGTTAGAGTTTTTAAGCTACAGCCACACTCATTTTATCCAATAGGAATCTATTATACAAAGTATCTAAGGTCTGCACAATGGCCATACTCGAGCAAGTAAAAGCAACAGATTATAATTTTTCTTAATGAATCTATATTGTAACAATCCAGAATCAAAAATGATGGAGATCTGAAATTCCTGGTGGTGTTTTCCTGGAAAATAAAAAAATAAGTTTGAATTATTTAAAGGCACAATATAGGTTCAGTCTGCCAACAGGTCACATTTCATCCTGTTACGGTGTATTTTAACAAGCCACTGACCAGCCCTGCTGCTGACAGCTCCTCTGATCTCCTATAGGGGCTGTCAGGGACTGTTATGAGTACCAACTCGTAAGGGACTAAAGCCTCGGTCGAGATGAGAGAGTAAAATTCCAGATTTGGTGGCTGCTCATCTTACCTTTTTCTGCAGCTCAGACAAGCAGCACACACTATTTCAAGCACTAGCAGAGGAAAAAATACTGGTGCAGCTGTGGATGGCGCCACCTCAAGTTCCTTTTCTTCAACAACTGAAATAGTGGTCAATAACTGGTCATAATATATATGTCTGCTTCCTTCTCCACCCAATGATTAAAATCCACATTTACTAGTTGATTGATGGGGGTTTAGGCTAATGAGATACCTCAGAGCAAGAAAATATTTGCAGTAGAAAATATGCAAGAAAAAAAATCTTGCAGTTAATAAAATTTAAGCAACAATTGTTTCAGAGAAGGTTATAAAAAGGTGTAACATCTATATATTCCCCAAAGTAAGATATTGTACAGACACCAGTATCAATACCAAGACCTTAAAAGTAATCAATATGTTATGAATGTGAAATTAGCCTACTGTAATCAGCCTGTAAAATACCCATCATAATACGTTTTAATTGTAAAGGTTCATAAATCCCATAAATCATTCAAATATTCTGGGCACATAACCTCAGTCCTCAGTCAGATGTGTATATCTATGTAGCCTTTCATGTGTCTCCAAGTTTTCCAGGAGGCTTGAAGACACAAGGCTTGTACGAGTTGTGTTTTGACAAGGAATGTCAATTTCCCTGGTCCCCTTAATCTGTGTCAATGTTTGTCAGGCTATTTTAAGATCAATACCTGTATAATCATGTAACGTCTCAATATTAATGAAATACATCATCTGGGCATGTTGACAGCAATATCCTCCTCTTTCACCCCAGTTGTTGCAAAAGAAAAACAATGTAATTATAATGTAGCCAAAGTAAAGCTTTGATTGGGCCCAAAACATCGGGTTCGACCCGAACCGAGCCCGACCCCAAATTCATCTTAAAATAAATATTATAAATAGTTTATTAATAGCTAAAGTAAACTATATTTAGCATATAATACAATACATTCTTGATTCTTAAAATAAATAACAAATTAATTCATTACAATCACATGCATTATAAATCAAATATTAAATATGTACATAAATGAAACATCCGGGATCCCAAAAAGACCCTTTGTACACATATGTGTACTCATTCTTCAAATACCTTTGACCGTCTAAAAAGGGAATATAAATATAAATAATGTCACTAAGGCAATATAAATAACCAGGTTAGTTCATATATAGTAAAAAAAACCACGACTTTTTTTAAGGAGTCTTCGGAGCCTCAGCAGACGGACTAACCCTCGCAGCGGAAGGAAAGGTCTAAAGCTGGCCTCCGCGGAAGGATAGCATATAAATACGTAACACGGCAGTAGCAGCCAGTATTGTCCAAGTCAACAGCGCAGCGAGAGGACCTGCTGTCTGTTGTGATGGGACAGAGCTGTACAGTGATTAAAACTGTACTGTTAATATTAGCTGGTGAACGTACAGTAGCTTAACGTGGACCTAAATGTAACTGAGGGCGACAGTTGCTCCCAGCGCTGACGTTAGCTGCCCTGTCAGACTTGACGACGAAGGAAACAACGTCTTGTATGTCACACGGATGAAATGAATGTCCACTGAGGAGACGTCTGTGTTTGTCAAGCGGAAAGAAACGTGTCTTGTCGAAGAGGACAGACAACAAGGACTAACGCCTTCAGACGAACAGCAGCTCTGTTGACATTTGTGTTGCATCCTTTCTATGCTAACATTGACTGTGGACTAGCTCGCTGGTGTTTGCTAGCCGTATAGGCTGCTAGAGCGCGTATGTTTTAGACAGGAGCGGGTTCAATTATTCATTATCACCAAACACGGTAACGTTATTTCCATTTTCTGGTTGGCATGTTTTCAGAGAGCCTCTATGGGCAGCAGCTATGACGCTAGGTGTAGCCACAGGGTTATGTCACTGTCGGGCTAACAGATAGCTCGGTGTCTACAGCTGCTGTCAATCTTTTGCATGGTCATGTCCAGCGGGGTTGGCATCATGTAGACTGTCCCACTGAACAGGTTAGGTGACCGGGGACACGCATTGTGTTTAGTGAGCCTTCCTTGGAGAGTAATGCAAAGCTGGATTGCAGCTATCCAACTGGGTCAAAGACTGACAGCTGGCACTGATACAGTTTAGCTCAGGATTGTTGCTAGCCATGCTCAAAGCCGTCTGTTCTGTGTGATATTACAAACATCTCAACCTACTTACAGGGCATGTGAGTGCACCATGTCCTGACTGCATCTCTTATTTATGCAAGAAGGCACATCAGAGCAGCCTGTCATGAAATAAATCCGCAGTGGCAAGAAGCAGCATCACTAGGACTGTGTGGATAATTTGCTCCAGGATTATTTTCTGAATAAGAGAGCAACATTCAAGGCATCAGCTGGACCATCAGCCCATCGCAATGGAGACTGTGGGAGATTTTGAGTACAGCAGAAAAGACCTGGTTGGACATGGAGCCTTTGCTGTGGTGTTCAAAGGAAGGCACAGGAAGGTAAATAAACGCCTGCCATGTTTTCTTTCTCCCTCTTCTCTTGCAGGAAAATCTGGGTCAGTCATTGGCAGTGCAGAATGCAGTTCTGCAGCAGCATATGTGGGCTGTCACCTTTTTTTTAGGATGGTAATATTGCACTGTTTTTATGACTCAACATGCAGATCTGTCTGATGTACTGTACAGTCATGCTGTGACAGGTGATTTCAGTGTTATTTCATCAGCATGATGGTAGCCGGATACGTGTATTTATGCCGTTTGGTTCATTCATGAAACGCATGAGTCAGGCAGCAGTGAATGACTTGCTGACGTACTGAGGCAGGAGGGAGGATGGGGTGCAGTGTTTTTCCTTTTGCCTTTTTAAGGATACATGCCTCCCTTATGTAAGAGCTGCACAAGGTTCATTCATAACTGGAGCACAGAGACCTATTGGATTATTAAGGTAATGCTCAGTAATTGTGTTTAACCCATTACATTTGACTGGGGTGTGGTTTTCTCTCCCAGAAGGACACAGGAACAGTCGGTTTGTTTGTGTACATGTGACAGAGATGCAGGAGATGACATCATGTTGCCCCCATTGCTACTGTGTTGAAACAGATGGTCCTGAATTCCTTAATGAAAGCTACATTAGAGCATCCCCACAGTCCCTGCTGGAGCCTGGGCAGAGCGGCTTCTGTCTCTTAATGTGACATCGATAACTGTCCCTCAGCCTGGAAACTGAGCTGAATGTTGGCCTGCAAACAATCACACGTGCATCTCTAGAAGCTGTGCACATCTGCTCACATGCCTCCCAGTCCTGTTAAAACAGCCCTGTCATGTGATCAGTGTATTTACTGTTTAAGTCCTATCATCGCCATGCCATTTAGCCTATTTATAGGATTATTTCCACCTGGAGGAACCGGAAGGTTAGAGCGGCCTGCATGCAAGAGACGTAGTGATTGCTTCATTGCTTAGTGTTGGATGTTACATATGGACTCCTGTTACACTGTAATGTCATGAAATTATGCAAAAGGCTCGTCAGAGATAAGGCAGGACAATCAGCTAATTGGGTTAGCAGCTGTGTTTTTGACTATGTTAGGTAATTACATTATACACATTTAACATGTCCAAAAGATGCAAAATTCATTAAGATGTAACTTTATGCCTGAATTCACCCTGAAAACCCGTTTTCACAGATTATTGCAACAGCTTGACCCTCTGCAGTTCTGCAAAGATATAAAACTTTACAACTTTCACATAGACTAGTTGCAACATGGCACAGCAGCAGCCAGTGTCAGCACAGTCTGTCTCATTTTCCTAAGTGTACATGTGGGTGAAATGTATTCAGTATAAATAATCAAACATGTAAAATGATAACCAATAGGGCTGCAACTTCACTGTCCATTAATGTGCTGATTATATTCTGGATTAATCAATCAATCAATCATTTAGTCAATAAAACGTCCTCAGAGTCCTGATGAAAGTTTCAGATTGCTTGTTTTGTACAGTACAAAGATATGCATTTACAATGATCTGCTGTTATGACTGTGATTGAGCTGATATTATGTTAAACTCTCCCCTCCAACCATGTTGAGTGCTACCCCCTAAATAAGAAGCACTTAAATGTGTTAGTACTACTTACTAGTTGTTAAGATGAAGAATGGTTTATTTCCAAATAAGTGAAAAAAGGCCATAATGAAAGCACTGGAAGTGGAATCAGATTTAAATGTATTAACTGATGTATGGAGGAATATCTTGGGATACATTCATACCTTCTGTTAAGGCCACACATAGGTTATTACATTACTCAAAAGTTAAACTTGTAAGGCTTTTTTTTTTATGTGTCATCTGTGTGTGTTGAATGTCAGCATATTTCAACATTTTTGAGGACAAAAAAATGACAATTTCTTAAACTGGCCAAATAAGATATTAGTATTTTGGTTCTATTCTAGTATGTTGGTCTTCTTCTGTCGGTCTTCTATCATAACATCTTTGGCCAACGTCTGGTTGCAGTGTTGTTAATCTCCTTGCTCACACCTCTGTAATTGGCAGTGATTCATAAATGAGATCATGTATTATTTTGGAAAATGACAGCGTAGTTCCGTTTTTGCAGCGTGACTCTGAGCAGAGCAGAACTGCTGACTCTGCACTGCTTAACTCTCCATTATGTGGTGCACTACTGAGCCATTAGTTCAGTTTGATAGAACGTCCCTCCCCCTCGCCTGCACCTCCTCACCCCTCCAGCCTTACATGATGGGCCAGCGGGGTCATATTTTTTTTTATTTCTCTATGGGTGTAGTGTCGGCAGCTCAGTCGCACTTGGCTGGGCAGGCCGTCATTGAGCTGGAGATGGATGCGGCTCAGTTGGCAGTGTATTGCGCAGGCACGCGCACACACACACACACACACACACACAGACACAGACACAGACTCATGTCACTCACATGCAGTCTCCAGCTTGTGTGCTGGTTTCTATGCCAGGCTCTAGGCGTCCCGCAGAACAAGAACATCTCCTTTTAACCTAGATTCATTTGGAAAGCGAGTATTTTTATTCACAGAATTCCTTCCTTAGCTTCCTGTTTGTCCATACTGTCTGTGTGTTTTTCTCAAGGACACAGAAACGGTCTCTCTGGGGTTTATTTCTGTGTCCTCAGTTTGGTGTTTGCATGTCAGTGCATGTCCTGAGAGTCTTTGAGCTCACGTGATCTCTAAAATTATTTTTATACCTGCTTCAGGAGCTCATCTGGAAACATAATCTCAGCCCGGAGAAAAGAAATAGGTCCCTCTCCTCTCATTTAGCTTTTAGTGTAAGTAGGCTGGCTCCTGTTCTAGCTGTCATCTGAGTGCCTCATCATTCAGGATGTCATTCAGCGCAGTAGGCTGGCCTAACTGTCAGAAACCTAAGTGACCTGGTGTTATTGGGACGGATAAAATTTCCTCCGTCCTTCTAGCCAGCTCTCACACAGTGATGCTGACAATGTAATTTAGGCCAGCAGGCTTGGCTTTTAGCACGCACACATATATTGTGTGTTTAATGTCACGTTTAAAATGTAAGTGCCACTGCAGTAGGAATGGGTAAAAAGGTTCAAATCCAGCATCATGATAAATAATATGTATATTTTTCCAGGTTGGTCTTAATAGCGAGACAGACTGCATTCATGGTATGATTCAGTGCTCACCAGCTACAGTGGTTTAAACTGGCTGAAACAATAAGTCAATAAATTGATTAGCTGATCGAAAGAAAATTCAGTGATATGGTAAACTAAACCATATTCTGATTATTTTGACAGATTGCTTTGTTATGACGTTATGATTGATGATTAGTGTGAATGATCATTTTTGCATCACAGTCTTCATCTTCATGATGGTGTGACGTTAGTTGCGGTCCGTACCAAACAAACATTTTCTTACATCTGAGCTGTAAACCAGGGCATCTCTGCAGCAGTACAGTAATTTATTATAGTGCTGCTTTGTCGTCTTTTTACCTTGCATTTAGATATTGCAATTTCACTAATATTTCTGTCAATTATCCCTAAATTATTTTTCAAGCAAAAATACCCAACTTTCTTTGGTTAAATGATGGTAAACCCTTGGGTTTTGGACTGTTGGTCAGACAAAACAAGCAATGTGAACGTGTCACCTTGGGCTCTGGGCTCTGGGAAATTGTGATGGTCAATTTCACTATTATCGGACATGTGGGGGAAAGATTTGGTATTTTTTAAATAATCAGATTAAATGAAAATAATAATTGATTGCAGCTCAGTGTCCCACAGTGTTGGATAGTAGAGGTGGGATCTGGAACAATTAAACATTAAGGGAAAATTAGCCACAGCGCTATTTCAAACAACATCTATTTAAAGAGTGTAACTATGGGCTGTCTCCTACTAAGTACATTGCTCACAAAATGAGACAACCAGCATCCACGGGGCTTACCACCTCGAATAAACATGGTCCTGAGGGAATTCGTGACCTAGCTGTCTTAATAAGACTGTATGCTCTCCTCTAAATGACAACACGTTCATGCACTTCCCCCAATGGTTGTTGGATGTCAGTTTGGAAAATGTATGAATTTAAGAAGAAGTGGATGGGTGCCTGACTTGTGTTACATCATCAAATAGTGTGACAAACATGTTTCACTGATCTTTGATAGTAGTTAAGGGGAAATCTTAAAGGAACATTGAGACTAAGTTGTATTAAATCTTTCTTCCTCTCCATCCTGCTCTCTGTGTTCCACAGAAGACCGATTGGGAGGTGGCCATCAAGAGCATTAATAAGAAGAACCTGTCCAAGTCCCAGATCCTTCTTGGCAAGGAAATCAAAATCCTGAAGGTGAGCATGACACTTAATTGCCTCTCATTTATCTCTTCGGTGTACTTAAAGAATGATCTGACATTGACCTTCTGTGTGAGTCTGCACCTTTAACAGAAAGGAGCCTCTACCTCCCTGATAGAGATGTCAGTGAAAGTGATTCCATTAGCTGCTGTGTTGTCGCCTAGTTAATCTTCCTGCTTATGCATCTTGTTTTTCTGTTTCTATTCAGGAGCTGCAGCATGAAAACATTGTGGCACTTTACGATGTACAGGTAAGGGTTTTTTGTTATATTTTCTGCATCAGATTGATGTAAGCTTAATGGAGAATGATGTAACCAGTGACTTTTAGTATTCAATAGTGTTTGGGTATTTATCTCCATTGAGTGTTGTCTTTTAGTGGCAGATGTGTCAGACCTTGTCTGTACCAGTATCTAATCTCATAAAATTGTCAAGAGGATCAATGTTGCCGTTGGTTAGTCCTTCAGTTTACTGCTGAGTAAGGCTACCTTCTCAGCACCTGGCTGATTCAGGGTCATACTATTGCAGTGTTTCAATAGCATCAGTCCATTTGTCAGGGTTGAGCTGTGTAGCCTCTACAAAGTCAGTTTGAGCACAGCTTCTACTGCAAACCTGACAGTGGAGTTTGAGCCAGAATGCGCCATAGCGTCATTTTACCGCCTTAAAACACAACATTTCTCATTAATACAACCTACCTGTGCCCAGTTGCACCCCATACATTCAAAGGCAAAATCGGTGATGTTATTCAGCATTTTTAGATGTTATAAGATGTATCCATTTATTTGGTTAGACAATCCAGAAAAATAAACTGTTGACCAGGTTTGTGCCGATGGGTGAACAGATTGTATATCCACAATTTAAGGAACGATTAATGACTGCTTATTTATCTATAGAATCTGCACCCTGTTGTGCATTTAGATGTTTCTGCTGTAGCAGCATGTCTGCCCACTGAGCCCCGATAATCAGCACAAGTGAAAAGTGAATTTTAAATCCTTGATTACAAACAAGTTTACCATCTCTTGTCCATGGATCTGACACCCCGCATCTCCGTTCTTCATATTCAGGCTCACCAAAACCTATTATGTGCCTTCGTCCATTATGGATATGATTTTGAGTGTTTATATTAAAAATAATAATAATATTCAACAAAACATCATGCAATGATATTGTCACACCAAGTACAGACCTTTACAGATATTACTAATAAATTGTAGTCTGCATGTCCTTCACTGGCACACATCTTTTACATAGCTTGTAAAATGGGCTTTGTAATATCTTTAGGCTGACCTATGGCATCTTGGCAGATATCGCCCAACCCTTGTATCTTTTACCACCTATACAACCAGGGTTTGTATAGGTGGTAAAAGATACAAAAGCACTGCTTTGTACTGTTTTAAAATGTAAAAAGTCAGTCAAGATTGTGTCTTGACTGACTTTTAGAGGTCTGAGCAGCTTGTCCTATCAATCTGTAAAAATCTATCATTAGCTGATGTAATGTTATCCCAGTAAAGGGGAGACTGAGAGCTGTCACCAGAATCAGTAAAAATCTGGTTGTCATGTTTAATTAAGGTGAATTACCACCAGTTTGTCATTATTACCATGAGTTGATTACTAAATAGCATTCGCCACTAAATGTAATTCCACCTCCAAATGTAATGATTACACATTATTATGTGACTTAAATTGACTTTATCGTTGTTCTAATATATCACTAAATGTGAGCTACAGTAAATCTCTCTGGTTTTCTAGATACAGATGAACTTGAGTTTTTTTTATTTTTTTTTTATTGATTTCATCAAAATACTAATTTAAATATTTGTCATCAGCACAGCTCTGGTGAATTAAACAGGTTTGAAATTCAGAGAAAAGGGCACCGGCATTATACAGTACTACAAATAAGCCATGAAATCTGAACACTGGTACTGAGGCTTTAAAGTCTTGTGTGCTCATGTGACTAATGACCCATACTGCTTTGCGGTAATTGTTCAGTTCATCTGCCCTTCATCGTGGGACATGGCTTCTCAAAGCAGGCACTCATCAAAACTGCCTTTCCATGGCTCTTACACACTTCGGGACTGCAGAGAGCTGGATGTGAAACATGCATTTGTATGAATAGATTTTACAAGGCTACATCACCCAAACAAAGCACGTTTAATACTTTTGGCCAAACTGTGTAGCCTGTGGAAAGTATGAAGTATGAGTCAGTGGAAAGAGTGCATTGTACTGATCTAAAAGACTACGCTGTCAGTACACTGTCACATATACAGCACACTGGTTAATGCCTGTCTGAGGGCCCGTGTTCGTGTGTTAAACGAGCACAAACACAGCTCAAATCCCCTTTGTCCTTTGGCTGGGAGCTTGGCCCATATCACATATTCCTGGCACATCCATCTGCAGACCCCGATGGTTAAAGAAGTGTTGCTGGAGGCAGAATATTTATCACATCACTTGCATTTATCACTGGTACTGTACTGTTGGTACTGTTGGTACTGTTGGTACTGTTGGTACTATTGGTACTCTTGTTACTCTTGTTACTCTTGTTACTCTTGTATACTGTTGTAGTGCATAAGTTAGGGTTTCCCTCTAATAGTCGACCTACTTTGCATTAGTTGGATAGTCACACAAAACCAAAAACAATATCAAACTCCGTTCGGGAGTAATGTAACGGTCCTGTTAGCTGAATCTAACCCGGACCAGGAGATCAAAGGACAGGGGGAGGTTTGTTTACGCATAGGAGAAGTCTGCTTTGTTTTTGTGAAGTTGGAAGTTATTTATTCTGTGTTTTGGTGAGATAATGTGATGTTATACTGTATTGAAATAAATGAACTTGATGTTCAGTCTGCTTGCTGGTTGTTCTGACACATTCAGATTAATTATCGTGTTTGCCAGCCGGCTGTTAAAAATGTATATTTAAATAATTAAATTAATAGCATAAACGTGCAACGACTAGTCAACTATAGGCTTAATGGAACGGCTACTAGTCGACTAGGAAAATCATTAGCCTGGGACAGCCCTAGCAGTAGTGATGTTATTAGTTGTTCTACACAGAGAGGAGGTGTTCCTGATGATGGTGGGTGTTGTGAGGCTCTGATTGCCATATTTTCCAACCACACAGGTTAAGCAGATGTTTGTATTTGTAGTTCTTCAAATAAAACTTGTAGAGAACAATAGAATAGAAGCAATAGCTGTGGTTCTGTTGAGAGTTCTGAAAAATCTTAAGTGTCTCCCCTCTCCAGACTTCTGTCATTAAGTGCACACCAGCAGATGTTGTAGGAATGTGTGTTTGTTAGAATTCCCTAAGCTGGCTACAAAGAACCCTTCAATTTAGGTGAACTTCCAATAAGAGATACAGAAGGAGAAATGAAGAGTGAGGTAGAAACGTTGAAGTAATGATGAAGCACTTCCCACATAGTAATAAGCAATACTTCCTGTGTTGGTGTAAGCCTCCCACAGGGATCAGTCCTTCCACCCTTCCACTCATACACTCATCTCCTCATCCCTCCATCAGTCCTGCTGATGTAATAACCTCTTCCAGAGGCAGATGGCTGTGGATGGCCATAAGTCAGCAGCCAGGATACAGTAGAATAGATAGCTTCTTTCACTGATTTAAAGACACATACAGTGTGACTGATCTCTTTTTATTCCTTGAAAATGAAGAAGAATCATAGCTTTAAAGAACATGTTCATTTGTAATAATTTTTAGCAATTACACAAGTTAATTATCTTTAGTAGGAAGCTAAAGTGACTCAAATAACAGATAGCGTATGCATTTCTTTTTTATGTATTTAGAGAGAGTAGAAGAAAGGATATAGCTGGTGCAAGCCATAATGAAAATGTATCATGTCATGGTACTGGAAGGTCAATCATTGGGTGTCCAAATAGTTTCTATCATCTTGCCAAAATGGACCATTTGGACAGTTTGGCATGTAGGGGCATTTGGTGTCTTGCCGAGAGTTAGATCACAAGATGGACACAGTACTACTCTCATATATCTCCATTTAATCTGAAGCTACAGCCAGCCAGCAGCCAGTTAGCTTAGCTTAGCATGAAAACTGAAAACGGGGAAAAATAGATAGCCTGGTTTTGGTTAGTCTGTACAGAGAAACTTTGAACAAAAGCCTTTATAATCAGGGTTGTAATATATTTGTCTTTGTATTATATTTGAGCTAATACAGTTGTTATTAGGCTAGAGGTTGATCATGAGTTTGAAGCTTTGAATATTTATTTTTCCACAGTAAAAGACTATATCAGGGGACAAATTACTCAAATAGAAATCAACACTGGTCACCCATCCTTAAACCAAGAAACACTGTGGTCCAGACAGACACCGAGCTTATGCTGCTGTTTGTTTTGATGGATTCGCAGTTCCTCTAAGCCCACTTTATCAATTATGTGGTTCGAGTTAGTTTGTTTCGGCACTTCCGCTCTTTCTTTCTTCATTTTGTTTACCTGCTTTCTGTCACCTCTGCCCCTGTTCCCTGTAACATCCACTGGGCTGCTCTAAAGCATTAAGCACAGTGTCTCACTGTGTCCTTCTCCTACCAGCTGGCTTTTCTTTTTTCTGTCCCCTGCATTATCTGTCTGTCTGTTGGTAGCCAGTCTAATGCTGTGCATTTCCTCTCTTGGCTACTATCAATAGAGTCTGGTGTGTTGAAGCCCTTTGGTAACCAAGACCAACTGGCAGCTGCCACTTTTCTTTCCCCTTTTTTCATTGTTTCCATTCCTTGTTTATTGTGAATATTTAGCTTACTTTTTCCAGTTTCTTGTGTCCCCGTGTTGCCCTTTATCATCACTCCTTCTCGCATCCCTAGTTGGCTGCTTCAGCCTCATCAGCTGTTGTTGTTGTTTTAAAACCTTGTGCTATATGACTGGGTTTAGCCAACAGAACAGGAAATGTAACCCGAGCTGGTTTGTTCAGCTGTCTAGTCACCCCATGGCTCTAAATTTTATTAGAAAAAGCATAGATCTTTACTTTTAACTGTCTTAATTAGGCTTTTCTTTTGTAGACACTGTTAAATGGCTGTCCATTAAAGCATTTCCAACATTTGGACAGTCAAAGTAAGTCTGAAATCCGCTGAAATTTTGACCTAGATTAGCCAGAAGTCTGCCAATGTTTTTGTCTTTGCCAACAAGATATGGGTTACCTATTTATAGTCTGATAATAATGACCCATAAACCCCGCCCTCTGACCTGTCTGGTGTATACACTGCGGGTGGTTACTGATAGGCCAGCTGACAGTTGTCGGCTGCTGGGA